TTGTGTTTATTGATGACATATTGATTTATTCCTGGACACAAGAAGAACATGCACATCATCTCTCGGTTGTGCTACAAACATTGAGAGAACATAAGTTATATGCGAAGATGAGCAAGTGTGAGTTTTGGATGAAGGAAGTGAAGTTCCTTGGCCATGTTGTGTCCGAGCAAGGGGTAGCGGTTGATTCCTCGAAGATTGAGGCCGTGATGCAATGGGAACCACCAAAGAATGTGACAGAAATACGTAGTTTCTTGGGGTTAGCCGGTTACTATCGTAGGTTTGTGGAAGGTTTTTCCAAGTTTGCGATGTCGATGACTCGCCTTACCAAGAAGGGGGAGAAATTTGTGTGGACTCAAGCGTGTGAATTAGCTTTTCGCACCTTGAAGGAAAAGTTGACAACGGCACCGATCTTCATTATTCCGAACAATGGGGAAGGTTACGATGTTTACACCGATGCTTCACTACGAGGCTTGGGATGTGTGTTGATGCAAGGAGGCAAGGTGGTTGCTTATGGCTCGAGACAACTCAAGATTCATTAGCAGAACTATCCCACTCACGACTTGGAGCTAGCCGCTGTGGTTTTTGCTCTTAAGTTGAGGAGATGTTACTTGTATGGAGAGAAATTTCAAGTGTTCTCGGATCATAAAAGCCTCAAGTATGTGTTCACACAGAAAGAATTGAATCTCCGGCAGAGAAGGTGGATTGAGTACTTAGAAGATTACGACTTCACTCTCAACTATCATCCGGGGAAGGCTAATGTAGTAGCGGATGCATTGAGTAGGAAGTCTCAGGGTGAAATCAATGTCCTTGTGGCTAAACGGTGGAAAATGATTGATACGTTGGAGGAGTTTGATCTATGGGTTAATGGACCGGAGGATCGACCATGTTTGTTTAACCTAGTAGCTCAACCAATCCTCGGACAAAGGATTGTGGAGTTGCAACGGTTAGATCCCGAGTTGACAGAAATTTGGGATAAATTGGAGAGGAATGAGATTGTTGAGGATTGGTCTATAAAGAATGAGGAGTTACAGTTTCGGGGAAGATTATGCGTGCCAAACGACGACCAAGTGAGGGAAGAAGTGTTGGGAGAGTGTCACCGATCGAAGTTCTCTATACATCCGGGGAGTACAAAAATGTATAGAGATATGAAACGACAATATTGGTGGAGTGGAATGAAGAAGGATGTAACAAAGTTCATTTCAAGGTGTGCCATATGTCAGCAAGTGAAGATTGAGCACCAACGACCTAGAGGATTATTACAGTATCTGCCTATCCCGGAGTGGAAGTGGGATCATATCACCATGGACTTCGTGTCGGGTTTTCCACGGACTTCAAGAGGGCATAACGCCGTATGGGTTATCGTAGATCGACTCACCAAGTCAGCTCACTTTTTGGGGATGAAGACCACAGACTCATTAGAGATCTTGAGCCGACTGTACATTTGAGAGATTGTTTGATTGCATGGAGTTCCACTTTCTATCGTGTCGGATAGCGATTCTCGTTTTGTGGCTCATTTTTGGCAAAGTCTACAACAAGCTATGGGGACAGAGTTACATTTCAGCACAGCCTTTCACCATCAAACAGATGCCCAATCCGAGAGAGTGATATAGATTTTGGAAGACATGTTACGGGCTTGCGCGTTGGACTTCAAAGGGAGTTGGAGCGATCACTTACCGTTGGTGGAATTTGCGTACAACAACAGTTACCAAGCGAGTATCACAATGGCACCGTATGAAGCTTTGTATGGAAGACCATGTAGATCCCCGACGTGGGTTGGAAGCCGGAGAGAGTAGTATGTTTGGGTCCGAGATTGTACGGGAGACAACGGAGAAGATTCAGCTCATTCGGGAGAGATTACGCACAACATAGAGTCGACAAAAGAGCTATGCGGATAGGAGAAAAAGGCATTTGGAATTCAAGGAGGGAGATTTTGTATTCTTAAAGTGTCACCCAAGAAGGGCGTACTTAGATTTGGTAAGAAAGGAAAACTCGTTCCAAGGTACATCGGTCCATTTGAAGTGATCAAGACAGTGGGCAAAGTAGCATACCAACTTCAGATACCAGTATCATTGTCAAGAGTTCATGACGTGTTCCACGTTTCGATGTTGAGGAAGTGTCAACCAGATACGTCGCATGTCGTGGATTTGGAGGCTATTGAAGTGCAAGATGGAGTCACCTATGAAGAGCAGCCGGTGAAGATTCTTGATATCTAGGAGAAAGTGCTTCGCAACAAGGTAATCCAGCTGGTGAAAGTCCTGTGGCAACATCATGGCGTAGAGGAAGCAACTTGAGAATCGGAGTAGGAGATACGAGAGAAATATCCATATTTGTTCGCTGCTTGAGGTAAGTTTCGAGGACGAAACTTTCTTTAAGGGGGGTGGATTGTAACACTCCGCATTTTATTTTATATATATGCATATAGATATATATTAAATAATTGTTGTAAAAATGGGGATAGGTGTAGCGATGTGTGTTTGAATTTGGTAGATTGGAAATGGAAAAATGGATGAAATAGTGAACAGTGCACGTGAACTGTGCACTAGCTGCAACTTCAAGCCCAATTTAGACCTTGATGCAGTCAATATCTCTTAAACTCAAAACATGAAAGTGGTAGAGTTCTTTCTTAGCTTTCCATAGCATCTTGAATCATCTCAATCGGAGCTCGGATGAGAGAGTTATGCCCCGATAACGAAGTAATAACGAAGCAGCCATGAACAGTAAAAGAAAAAACAAATTCGGGATTTCTGTGTTTAAAAACACAGATTTCAGCCTTTATTCTCATTTCTCTCATTCCACTCTCAACCCACTTCTCTTAGGACTCTAGAGGAAGAGAGAAGGATAAAACACAAGATCAAAAGGAGATCTATACTTCAAAGAAGATCAAATCTTCATCTTCTTCACACTAAACCTAGGTTTTTAAGAACATTGAGGAAGGGTTTTCTTTCATCCTTGTCCATTGATGTTAGGATTATTATACATGTAGAATTTGGCTCTTAATAGTATGTATTTGTTATGGGTTCCTTGTTCTTTGGTATGTTTACAAACATTCCCATGATTTGAACAAAATGATGGTTGGAAATCCATCAAACTCTAGTTTTTGGGGGAAATATGAATTTTTCTCTATATCTTCACATCATCTTGATTTTGAAAATTCTAGAACTTTGTGTTGTGTAGTAAAATGATTGTATTGATGATCTCATGCTTATTTCCTTTAAACTTGACTCTTGTTACATGATTTGCGAAATGGGTATATTTTCTTAAAATTGTTCTATTATGTATCTTGCTTGTGAAAATTTGGGGAAACATCATGAAATTTGCTTGTATATGAGGTTGAGTATATTGTTGGTATGTCACTCTTGTGTATGGTGTTGTGAGGGACTTGGATTACCTTCAAAAACTGTCGTAGAGCGTTAGAGGTTAGTCTATCCCAATGGGGGGGTGAGATGACTGCCTAATGCTCGTAGTGGATCACTGTGGTGGCAGTGACCACAATTGTTCACGGATACCGGGGAAAAAGGGTTAGTATACTAGACACCTTGAGAGGATCTCGTCAAGGCCGTATGAGACGGTACACGCCCTTCCTAAATTGGTCTGTGATTGTTAGTGAAAATGGGTGAATGAGGTAGAATCGTTGGGTAGATTCATGAGAAGCGACAACCTACTTGAGTGGTACCAAATAGAAATTTTTGTTCATTGTACCAAATATTATTTCTCCAAGAGTTTCGGGTAGTATGGGATGCCGCGATACCTTGTGAAAATGGTGTATGGTGGAGTGGATTATGTTGGAAATTGTTTGTCAATTAAACGTGATTTTATTCTCGTTCAAGTCCTTATTATTGTACAATCTTGAGATCTCCTTTAAAATGTCCTTACTTTACTTCAAATTCATTTATATGTATGTGCGAAACGTGACCTGCCTGTTTTACTTGATTTCAAAACCTTGAATGGGTTTGGAAGGATCCTCCTACAGAGCCTTGTGCTCACCCCCCCTACTTCCCCACCTTTCAGATTTTGCCTTTGACGAGGAGCTGGGAGTCGAGGGGCCGACACATTTAGAGACTCCGATAGAAGGGAGCGTGGATCCCGAGGTGGATGCTTAGAGCAACCCCCCTTTCTTTTGTTATAGACTTGGATAATCTTTTGGGAGAATTGTATAGCCTAGTTTTTATTTTATAAATTCCGCTGTGTATTATAGTACTTTTGTGGGAATGTAAAGGTCATAACTTGGCCTATTCTTTTGGGATAACATGTAAATTGGATGGATTGATTTTATGGTAGTTAAATGGACCCGGTGTGGTCATTACAGTAGAATTGCACAGGTTGTATTTTGGGTAGAGCTGTCCGAACAGAGGAGACTCTGCCCAAATTTTGTTAAAATATGAATGGTGGATGAATGAAACTTTTGTCGTGATGGATTTACTTAATGCTCTCATGCGGTGAATGATTTTTAGAATGTAATGTCACCCAATGGAGTTTTTGGGGCGTTACAGAAATAATGAATAATCTTTTCTAATCCACCATTAAAAGTGGGGTTATTGTCTCTGTTTTTTTAAAAAATAACCCCATTTTTTAAAAGATTTTATAATTTAATAAATAAGTTTAAAAGTATTATATTTTAATAAATTTGTTTTAATTTAAGAAAAAAATCTCATTTTGTTTCTAAATGATTAATTTTTTCACATTACCTCTTCAAAGAATTAAAACGTCGCAATTTGGTTCACTGTTTTATTTATGTTTAAACATCCATTTGTTTTGTGATTTGTAATTGGTTGAATTGGCACAAAAAATAATAGACACTCAAATAAAAATAAGACGGTGAATCACATTACAATTTGTTTTATTCTTTGAGAAGACAATGTGAAAAATTAGTCATTCAGGACGTCAAATTAAAACTTTTTGTATCTTTTCCGGGGCAAAATGGAATTTACCTGAATTTACCGCGGAATGGTAAATAACTCCTACAAAACACATTTCAAAGTCATGTCAGAAGGCCACAAGAAATGGAGCTGCTCTATCTTCTCTGTTCCATCGTATCCACGTCCCTCACTTCCATCATTTTCTCTCTCCTCCTCCTCTTCCGACACCTCCTCCGCCGGCTATGGGCCCCACGTGCCAGCTCCTCCTCTAAGGATTCAGTCTCTCTCTATGAAGGCACAGTTTGGCATGAGCGCCGCCATCCCGTCCGCCACTCTTTCAAATACTCCGTCCGCTATGCACTCTTTAACCTTGACCACACGCCCCACGCGCCGCCCGACCATCTCTCTGCTGAAGAAGCTCGCTGCATTGCCGAAACTAGTGGACCAATGTAATTACTTTGTCTCATTTTTTCATTTAAATTATGGAATTTCATTTCTGGCTGCTTTGAATTTTTGTGTGTTTCCAGAGTTCAAAGGATCATTTGCTAGTATAGAACCTCTTTTTTTTTTTTTTGAAAGTTTGTTTTGTTTTTTAGCAATATTATTGGTGAAATAGTACTCAAATATGTTTTGAATTTCTTGACAAAATCGTTTTTTTCCCCCTTTGTTTTGAAGAAAAAAAACACTTACAAAAGGCTGCGCACTGGTGCCTAAAGTTGCAGAGGACTCCTAATTAAATTTAAGCTTATTTCTGAATCTTACATGTATGGATTGTATTGCAGTTTGAAATGTAATGTGGCTTTTATACTATGATCATCAATATTGTTGTGCTTACTTTATACAACTGAAAATAGTCTGTCAATGTAAGAATTTTGTTGAGTCTAGTTGTTTAATAGAACTGTGACGTTGTAAAGTCCTCCCTCTTTTGTTGTTTTCCAGTTATCTTGTTGATTTTATTGGAATTGGACTTCTGGATAGTAAGTTTATGGACCTTGAAGGGGAAGTCTGAGTTCCTTTTTAAGCCTTGCTTGGTTAATTTTAACTGTACATTTTTTGTGTTATCACTTTTTTTATGTAGTTATTTTCTACAATTTTATTGATATGCATTTTTGCACAGTTTCCTCTTGACAATACCTCCCAGCGTGGGTTACGAGCAAAATCCTTTGAGTTTGTATTATTGCTACGATGTAGAAGGCTCTACCCAGGTTTTGAAGAAATGCATTGCTGAGGTGAATAGTCACTATGCGTTTAACTATTTTAGCGTTAAATGCATTGCTCGTTTTGTAAAGCATTTTACAACAACATGTTCTATAACTCTATATCCTTTGTCATTGCTCGTAGTCGTATTTCTTGAATTAAATTCTCACTACTGGACTGCTCTCTTTGAAGTTGCTCAAACCAACAATCCTACCAAATGGAGATGAATTAAAAGAGCTTTTCAGAGCATACCATTTTGAATCTAGTGATACTCATTGATAACTTACTAAAAGGATCAAGTTTTATGTATCATCTTAAATAATGTTGCCACAAGTCCTTGAGTTTAGTCCTTGGCTTACTCATATATCATCTTTGGTGATGCCTTGTTGTACAAATTAGACAAATCTCGTTTCCCAACTTGTATGCCTCATGGCCGTTTGTTTTGGGTATTATAACACATTTTTAGCTGTCGAAGTTGTGCAGATTCACCACTTGCAAGTAGCCCCAACCTAGAAAATCTGTATGATATTGTCAATTACAGTTGAAACTTGAAAGTTCCATATCATAAGTTTAAAAACTCAACTGTGGTGCTAGCACATGATACTTGGTGCATATCAACAATTGTGTGTTACTTCTAAATAGGTATATTACACTTTCCTACAATTAGATATGCACCCAACAATTGTGTTTGACAAAAACATAGAGGAATAGTTTCATAGATGCTAGAGTTATTATACAAAACTTTCAAACTGGTCCTTGCTTCCATTTGAAGATGTATACAGGATTCATCTCGCATGCAGGATGTTAGGTTGATGCTGCATGTTTTTAACATATAAAAAGAGACGTGAAAGTAAAAAAACTAGGGATGCCCAGTATGCAAGCCTTCAGGCCGTACGGTGCCTGGGGAGGGCAAACTATGTGTTGCCTTACATGTGCATGCATAAAAATTTAAAAATGAAGAAGAAAGAATATTCAAAAAAATGCCCATTTCACCTGTGCCCAAATCGTAGGTCTTGGGGATAGCAGAGGAAGTACCTAAACATGCTTGCAGCCTAGTTGCTTATGGAAGTTCATATAATAAGCATGGAGAGGAAGAAGGTAAGTAATTTTGGCAAATGAGAACAGCTAAAACTCCTGATACAAGTGGCTTCGAAAGGAATGTGTGTAAGAATTTTCAGGAATGTAAACATTTCCAATGGTAGTTCACCAATTAAATGGTCCATACAAGCACAAATATTGACGAAACATGAAGTCATTACAACAAAAATGACATGATGGTAGGAACACAATTGTTTTGCACAAGACACAGAATACCTCATTCTAAAAACACCATAGGTGAAAATTGGATAGCCAACATTCTGGAGCACATGGATGGACTCAATTATTACTGGTCAGTGTTTTACAATTCAGATGATATCCAATAAAAGAATTTTTGCAACACATACTTAAATTTAACATTCTGGAACCTTCCATTTGAATATTCCCTAACAAGAATTTTTGAGCATTTGCATTTGCACCACATAGTAGATAAGGCGTTTCAGCATTTGACCTTGTCCATACTATGTCAGGGCACTATTGACTGATACACAGATAAGAGATAACAATACCACAGCAGAGTAACCCTACACCTCTTAAAGCTTGTAAAAATTACTATCAATCATTAAACTCCACATGTGTTTTGGCTGGTAGCAAGTTTTGTAGTTTGGGAATGATATTCACTAAAAAGAACAACTGTAATTTCTTGCTTCAACCTTCCACTTGTAACAAAATGAAAAACAAAACTAAAACTGTTTTCAACCTGCCATAAGGAAAATATAGTAGATATTGCGAAGTCCAACCTTAATACGTATGTCCATGCCATAATTACGAAACAAGAGAAAGTTCCCAAAATTGGTACATTCATGTAATTCCTATACATTTAATCATCCACATAACTTATTGGATGACACTTTTGCTCTTTTCTAGATTAAGATAAGGGACAGTTTGAAGATGAAAATCACGAAAGAACATGGTATTAACTATGACCTATTGAAACATGAGTGACACATTAGTTTATCGCTTTAAGATCAAGAAGTCAAGCTAGAATATTTTGAACTGTTGGAGTCAAGCCGGACTGATCGTCCAATTGATTGACATTTGAACATACAAATTTTTGTAATCCTCTGTTATGTCTAGAATCATATTGGCAATTTCATGACTTGTGTACTATGACGAAGATATCATGTGGAAGAGCTAGCCTCACAATTGGAATTTCTTGGCTTCAACAATAAAGGAAGAAGATTACTTGGTAGACTTCGGCATTACATTGGAAGTTGTGTCTAGCTCAATTAGGTTACATTTCTATGCTAGGCACACTTCCCTAGGACCGAGCTAGCCTGTTCTTGTAAGTTGGCATAGACTGTTGGCTTTTAGAATAGGGTTGGTCAACCTGCCCCGAAGCTAGTCAACCCGGTATAGAAGATCCAAAAACTAGCCGTTAGAGCTAGCTGTTGAATCCACCCCTGTAAATACCCATCTTCTTCACAAGAGATGGTTGATGGTTTTGGTGTCATCCCTCTTACATATTTCCCTTCATACCAGGAATGAGAAAGAGGGTGAAATTTCACTTTTACCCTTACCTAATGGAGCTTAGACAAAGACTTGAAGAAGACATTCTTTGGCCAAGGTTCTCTTTGATTCCTCTTCACTTAATTGTATACTAGGAACAATCTTGCATGCTATGCACTACTTTTGCACTTAGTTTAGAGTCATCGCACCAAGGGGAAGCTTGTAAGTCCCAAGTGAGTTGGCAGTGAAGTGTAGAGTTTGATGTTGTGGACTGGTTGTAGGTGAGCCATACAAAAACCTCACCAAAACCTAGTTAGGTGTCTTACGAGGGCTTAGTTAGATCATGTGGGACCATGGAACATCTTCGCAAATCTCAGATAAGGTACCTCCTAGGTTATGTTGTAGGGGAGCCTACGACAAAACCTTCACCAAATCCTCATGGAATGCGTTCCAAGGGCTACTACACAGTAGAAACAAAAAAGGATCACAAAAGAAGTAGAAGATGAAGAAGAAGATCTTGGGTTTCATCTATTTGAGATTGAACCAAAAAGGGGAAAATAATTTCTAGGAAACAAGGTTGTTTCACTATTTATGTGATGCAATGCTTTTTTCACTTTGTTATTTTCTAATTTTTGGTTGGATTTCTTATCCAACATTCTTGATGTACTTTTCACTTTTTATTGATACAAGATTTCTGCTTCCTATCCAAAACAGACTGGCCAATTGCTTTCCTTATTTGTCTAATTGATTGGTTCTCATTCAGAAATGTCGAACACAATTGTTGGGTGCATATCTAATTGTAGGAAAGTTCTAATTGTTATCACATAACTATACCCATGTCATGCCGTGTCTGACATTAATATTCCAGATGTTTCTATAAATACTTCACAATTCTTACTATCCTTGTACATTTGTTTTGCATACAATTGTTGTATTTGATTTTGTGTTTTCAAATTGAAGTTTAAGCTATCAGATTATGATTTCCCAACACTGTCATAGATGGCCATATTCCTGAGACACCGTATATCTCTTTGACTAGGATTTTGCTATGTGGGCTGCACATGTCTAACCTTTTGTTTCCCATTTTCTTTTTCACTAACTCCTTAATCAATGGGGATATTTATTTTATGCTGGTACAAAATTCTTTCTCGATATTGAAATAAATATGTTGAATTCGGTAATTATATTTGATATGTTAGCTAACTGTTAGCATCATGGTGATTTCTGGTTACAGGTAACCAATACTCCATGGGGTGAAAGAGTAACATTCGTATTTAATCCAAAATCTGATTTAGTCGCAAAACCACTTCATGTCAGCCCATTCATGGTACATCTAAAGAATTGTTTTGCTATTTACCTTTTGTTTCCTTGCTTTCTTTCTTTTCACTGTTTTCCTTTTATAGTGTTTATCAATGCTACTGATGTTTATTAAAATGTTATTCCATCTTTTCTCGAACTAATTTTTGCGCTTTTGTGTTTATGTGATTTCTTCCTTTCGTGAAATTCTGATAGTTCACTTTTTCTGTGTATTGTACTCCCTTAGAGTTCATGATACAACAGCCGAGGTCCAAAGCCCATCTGTTTGCTTTGCTTTTCCATCTGTATCCTTGTCTAATTATTCTCTTACATTTGATTGGTAGTATAATGTTGATAGAAAAGAGAGCGGCATTGTGCTTTTTTTTTTTTACCTACAACATTGAGTTATACTCTTCTCATCCAGTTCATGGTTAATGTCATGCATTCGCAAATAATAAAGCTAGCATCCTCTTTCTTTGTATCTTATCAATTAAGCAGTGCATACAGTTTCAAGAAGATGACATATTTGTATCGGACACAAGTTCGATACTCTTTTGGCCATATTTATAATTAAGGAATTAAAAATCTTGATTTCTTATACGGGTCTGCCAATTCCTTAGCGGTGTATCTGACACCTCTTAGCTCAGTGCCAATGAACTTATTTATGCGGCTCACACTTTTTGTATGCTTGCCAACATGTGATTGTTGAATTATGGAAATTTTAGGTTTGACCACCTTATGCCTCGGATAGATGTATGATCCGTAAGATCAATCACTTTAAGGTTTTGCTAAAGTCGATGGCTTTGAAAGGATGAAAGGAACCATTCCAGTTATAAACGTTTCCTATAGGAAATGAGTGATCATTGACTACTATGGTCTATTAGTCTAAAATTCGTTAGAGTACATGATATAAGACTTACTTATCATGCAATAGTGATTTGTTAACCTTTTATAAATATATTTGGATATTATTTTTTTATAGACAATTTTATGGTGTGTGTCGTGGCCGTGTCTGTTCCTTACTCGTCTAGGATCTATGATGTCGACATGTATTTGGATATATTGATATCTATTTAGTATTATTCTATTATAGACAATTTTATGTAGTGTGTCCAGGCTGTGTCTGTGCCTTATTCATCTAGGATCTATGGTGTGTGTAGCGTCAATGTTCATGTTAGTGCTTTATAGCTTATCTGGTTTTTATCAACAATACAATGTACAAAATATATGGACATACATATTTATTGACATATCTTTCCTATATTTTGTATTGTTATAACCGTTTCATGTTGTACTCTTACCTCACCTGTATGGCTGGGAGAGGGCAGTTACAGCTTCCCTTCTTTCTTTATAGTTATTTATTTTTGTCCAGTTTGACCATGGTAAATGTCATTTTCTAATAAAATTTAAAACTGGGGTCTCCATCTTATATTTTAAATGTCAGGGGGTGGTTGTTTGTTTCCTATAAATGTGAGGAGGTGTCTCGTAATTTACCTGAGAATGATCTAACTGGAGCTAGGAGGGCCACTGAAATACCCGTCATTGTGGGATTTTGAACATGTTGGCTTCTTATGATGTATGATATTTCTTCTGCCACGGAATACATTAATGACTTTAAGTTTAAGCTTTTTAATGACAGATACTAAGATAAGAGTCATGGATGGTCTTTTAGCATAGAGAGTAATAGCTCAAGGACAAGAACAATTAGGTATTGCTCTCCCTCGCCATAGGTGATACATCAAAATTGCAAGTAACTGAGTGCTTTTGGAGGCATTAGTCTCAACTCTAAGTGATTGGCAACTTTACCCTGAAGGAAAGGTAAAAAGAAAGAAAGAATATATACAATATGTAAAAAGAAAAATAATTTCACAAATAATAGAATCTGGAAAGTATAGCAATACAAATAAGTCAGGATTAGGATGCTGATGAACATATTTCAGAACAAGGCACTTTGCAATGGTCTAAGGATATCACCAAGTCGAATGAATATGTACGAAGTGTCATGCACAATTTATTGGCCTACTTAAGTGTAATGTAAATATGTTTCTTGCTCATGTTTACATTTTACATTGATTCTTTACTCTTTAAGTACAAGCTTATGAGAACTAATTTCAGGATATGCTTGGAAATTGGAGCATCAGAACTAATGCACCTGGGGATAATCTGTCTGTTGCAATTTTAGTTCAACATCCCAAGCTTGGTGACTATTTCACAGCTTCCTTGACAGCCAAAAGAGTCTCTTCTGCACTGGCAACTGATCATGCAATGTTTTTCTGGTTGATGCCCCATAAAGTTGCACTGTGGATATATTGGCATGTAAGCAATTTTAAATTATATGATAGTTACATACATGGCCCTGACTTGGTTATGGATCTCACTGTTGAACTCAAAGTCTGATAGACTACAAATCCTTTGAGGTCCAATAGCACTCGAAATGTCCATAGGCCAGCTTAAGGATAACTCGGTCTGTGATAATTATAGGATACCAATAGTATTGAAAACTTTAGTAAAATGATGACCGAGTCTACTGAAGCTTTGTTATTACAATTGAAGGGTGCCCTTGAGGAGGATTTAGCTATGTTGCTTCCTACTAGGTTTCGAGCACAACTGGCTGTAGTGAACCAAGGCATCAAGGTTTAGAAAGAAGCTCTATATTTAATGGTTGAAATAGATATATCCACTTGTGTGTTTAACTGTTTATATTATTTGATGTTATACCACTCAAGCATCTAGTGGTTTATGCAAATGTGTCCAGTTCAAGTCCATTGTCAGAACAGTGATATTATAACAAAGAAACATATTGTCATCCTAGTTATTTAGGTATGACAAATGTTGACAAATATATCCTATGATTGTGTTCCTTTGTCCAATCAAAGTTGACAAATATATCCTATGATTTTGTTCCTTTGTCCAATCTACTGGGGTTGAGTCACATGACATGACATATGATTCCAAACTGTTCAAGTCAAGGCAGGTGAGTTAGATGACATCTCTCTCTGCCTTCTCTCCTTACAAGCACTCCTATAGGAAACTATTAATGGAAGTCAAAAATCGCAAACAAAATAAATAGCCATGAAGTATTGCGGTCAGTGTAGTCCTAAGTGACCAACTCCATTCTGTATAAGAATATCTGTAGTTTGCTGCATGTATAGATGATTTGACCAATATTTGTAGTTGCATGAGATCTTGACATTCCATCTTTAGAATGAATTTATGGAATTTGCTACACAAAAAGGACAAGCTATTAAAACTTCGAATGCTTAGACTGATGTATGGTGTGAACATAAATCCATTTGGCAATACTGATTTGTTTGGAAACATAATATATTGCATGGCAATAAACCTACTCATTCAAAATTCAACCAAGGTCGAATGCTGCAAGTCATGTATCTGGATTATAATACTGTGAAGTGGTGTAGTAGATCAATGGTTTGTTAGTGTTGAAGTAGAAGATATTACCTGATTGGCTGAGTTAGCAAAAGTTCAAATCTAAAGGCAATTTTGATGAGTTAGGCGCTCTATCCTTTGTTCAATTTATTATCACTTACCAGAATATGTTTTCCTAGGCTGTCAAGCTTTGGTGGAAAAATGTTCAATTTATCCAACATCCAAGGTATCTTTCCCGTGAATATAGAGAAGCTGCTTTTGTACGCGATAAAAAACTTCAAAGCTGTCAGGCATTTGCATTGGATACACAGAACCATCTGCAAGTTGAGGGAACTGGTTCTTGTCTTGTGGCTGATACAAACGGGAGGGATCGTAAGTTCACATGGAGAGATGCTGAGTGGCCCTGGTGCTAAATTAAAAAAGGGGTTAGTATGTGTTGTTTCTTCTTCGGCATTGGCTGTACCTTCATAATTGTTTGTTTTGCAAGAATGTCTCGAAACATTCTGAGAATTGCAATAAACAAGCAAATTGAAGAAGGATTTCGTTCCTTTGTTCTTATTTTTTACTTTCTTATAATAAGTTACTATTTAGAGGGTCTGTCTCTCATGAGAAAAGCGAATTGATGTCTTACAATTTGGCAACTCAAGTATGCACAAGTCAGCTATGAAAGTTGCATTTGATGTGTGATGGTTCATGGATGCAATATAATCACTACTGTTCAGCAAGAGACTGAATTCTCTCCACTACTCTCAAACTGAACCTCCAGTATTTTTTGTTATGTTTTGTTCTTGACTAAATAGAACCCTGCCCCCATTTTCGCTTAGAAAATGAAATGGACCTTCAAAATGAAAGTAAAGGAGGACGGCTGAACTGGAGGGTCCTGATTAGTGCAAAGGAAAGAGCATAAGACGGCTTCCACATTTACTTTTAAGAGAAGCAATAACACAAGGCCCAATTTATGAACTTTTCGCTTGACTTGTTTACTATTGTTTTTGTTTGGTAAAAAATAGACAAACGAAGAAAAGAGAAAAGATAAAAGGTAGTCTTATAGGTTGAGAATTAGAGATTAACTAGGTCAGCTACCACATGTCATTTATACGGTTGAGTGCATTCAAGTTCATCAAATTCACCTATACACACGAGAGATTTAATTTATACTTTTCAATAAAATTCACGTGTATCATGGATTGGTGGGCTGCTTTGTGTCGATGGTGGGGGGGGGGGGTTCACACAAATTGTGTTCGCCGTGTGGATGTGGGTATATGAATGGGTGTGTGTAGGGGATGAAGCAGAGAAATAAGGCGGAGAGAGATATTTATATAGGAGAGTTGCCGTCGAGAGGTTATAGAGAGGAGTGGCCGTGAGAGAGAAGAGGGAGGGAGAGAGGAGATATGGGATTCTAATTTGGCCTGCTTGATTTGTCAAGAAAATAAAAAAGATAGAGGGAAGTTTAAATATGAGATACGGAGAAGGACAAAGGAGGTTTGGGAGATAAAGAGATTAGGTAAATTTGAGGCGTGATTGATGGTAAGTAAAATTAGAAAATTTTGGGCAGAAATTTTTTTTAAGGTTTATGGTGGTTCGTCGAATCAATCAATTTGAAATGATCTGAAATGTTAATAGCTCAAGATAATTTGAAAAGATGATACTTTTTCTGGTCTTAAAATGATTTGAGACGTTTTTTTATCTTTTGAATTCAAATTCATTCTATTTTATTCAGACTTTGAATATTGATTTATTGAAATAATTATTTTTGCCCTAATCTCCTCCTTTTATCTTTTCACCCCCTTCATGTTCTCTTATCGTCCCTCCCTAGTTTTCTTTTTGGTCTACATCAACGCCTTAAAGAAGGACAAACTGCTGATTTATCTTTTTGGGTTCATATTTAATGCACTAGTCTCTTGAACTAACAAATTGGAAAGATGAAGCATTTACTATTTGCAAAGAGATGAAGGATACAATACAATCTATGTACCTCAAAATCGTCAATTGACTCTGATAATACGTATTTTTGTTTTAATCAGTTAGATTGTAATTTTTTATTTTTTTAATAATTTTTGTGTAATTTTTAATTTTTTGATAATACCGTATTTTCTATTTTAGGAAAGAATTTAAAAAATTAATAATAAATTATAGGAGAGTCTGTATTCAGTGTCGCCAATTTTTTTAGACTGCAGATAATACATACTTTTTTTTTAATCAGTTACATTATAATTTTCTATTTTTTAAAATAATTTTCGTAAAATTTTTGACTTTTTTATAATCCCTTTTTTTTTTATTTTTGGAAAGAGTTTAAAAAATTAATAATTAATCATAGGAGAGTCTGAATTCAGTGCCGTCAATTTTTTTAGACTCCAGACAACACGTACTTTTATTTTAATCAGTTGAATTACAATTTTTCTATTTTTTTTAATAATTCTCCCTCATGAAATTAGTACCCTTTAAATGTAGCCAAGCTCTTTATTTATAGCTTTCTTTTACACCTTAAAATCATCAAAATTATTCTTATATTATTAGAATTTCTGAACTTGTACTCGTTACCATAAAAGAATTATAAAATGTACTGACTTTTAATTTTTATAATTTTTTACTCTCCGAAAGCACAACAAAAGCGAATGGTCAATGGGCTCCCTTTGGTGTCAATGACAGTGGGATTTAAAATGAAACAATTATTTAAAACAAAGTGGGGCTGGCCTAACATTTGTTTGTTTCACCCTATGAATTAGTTGTTCATGTTGTAAAAGGTGAATGGATATGGATGTAAAACACAATAATTAAGAGAAATCAGAAAAACTTATTTGTTGAGGCGTGAGTTATCATAACCCGTGTCTGAAAACACGATAGAACAAAAAATTCGAATTCTAAAAAATCGATATCACTATATTAAATAATATTTTTTCTTTCCTTTATTTATTTGATTAAATCATTCAATATTTATTTTTATCCATTATTTTCTTGAAAATATAGACAAAATTTTCTCAAAATATGCAATTCGATAAATTTTTTTAACATATCTATACTATCGTGTATGAATAATATCTGAAATAAAAATTATGTGAAATTATAAATTAATTAAATATTAAATGGTTAAGTATGTGATAGAAATGAGTGATGTGATGGTTTTTGAGGAGAATGTATAGGGGATAAAATTTAATTTGTTATGTGTTTTATTATATAGATTTGTATAGATATAATGAAAAATTTCATCCAGATCCCCTATAGTTAGGTTTAAATTTAATGACACCTCCTTTTGATTTTGAAATTTCACTGTCACTCTCTGTTAGTGATTGTCAGGTTACACCATTAATGGCGATGATTGATTTATAGAAATATCTTAGACTATTTTATAGAATAAATTTTATCCACACCCCTTAAAATAAACTTAACTTTAATAACACCCCCTTTAAATAGACCTAACTTTAACAACATCATCTCTTGATTCTGAAATTTCAATACATTCCCTTTTAATTTTATTGTAATAGCCTTTATTTTGATCAATTTAATATTTAATTTTATCAAATTTAATTTTTTTTATTTAATTTAAACTAAATTAACATTTCATCTCATAAAATCAACACAAAATTGATATTTAATTTTATCAAATTAACATTTAGTTATATTAATTTAATATTTCATTTCATCAAATTAATATTATTTCTTTAATTTAACATTAATTTAAACTTAATTTATCAAATCAACATTAAATTGATATTCAATTTTATTAAATTAAACTATTTAATTTATTAAATATAATATTAAATTCCATTAATTTAAAATTTAACCTTATCAAATTAATGTCATTTCTTTAATTTAACACCAAATGAACATTCAATTTTATTAAAACAACATTCAAATTTATTCAATTAACATTAAATTCAATCAAATTAACACTAAATTAATATTTAATTTTATCAAATTAAAACTAAATTAATATTTAAATTTATCAAAATTAAGATCAAATTTATTCAATAAATATTAAATTTTATAAAATAATTTTAAAATTTATATATGAAGTATGATGTGTGAGGAGGGGTCGAGCGACGTTGTGGAGGACATATGATAGCAGAAGAATTAGAAATGAATGAGATTTTGACATTGACTTTATTGATTATAATTTTTATTATAAAAAATTTATTTTTAACTATAAAAATTATTTTGATAAGAAAATATAAAAATTATAAAATCTTGATTATGTAACGAAATGAGTGATAGTATGATGACTAGTATAATAACAAAGTTATAATATAACGTTTTAAAATGAATGATTGAAATTACGTTTGTTGGCTAGCTAGCGTATATATAATAGAAAAATAATTAATGACATTTTAGTCTATTTACTTATTAAAGGGTAATTTTAGTATTTTCATAAAATATTTAATTAAATCATTATTTTATTTACTAATAGAGACAAAAATTATTGTTATAGGGGTTGTCATTGAATTTAGACTCAACTATATGGTGTTTAGATGAAACTTTCCCTAGATATAACATGCAGATGTAGTATGTCTTCGATTTTTGTACTATATATATGTACACTAAAGATGTGTGTGTGATATAAACAATAAAGATAAAGAGCAACTACATTAGGATAGAATTTTGGGGAGACATGTGTCTCAATTTGGAAAGAGAATCATGAAAAATTAAAGTGTGAGACATAGCCAATGTCTCAGTATAGAAAGGGATCCCTTAGCATAGGAAATAAAATCAGGAAAATAATGATAAGAGTTGCAATCTATATTTTATGGAGAGAGAGACAGAGTTGATGAATGAGAGATTGCTTAATTGCCGGATTTGATTGAGTTGGGAATTAAATTTAGGGAAGTTAGTTTTGGAAACTAAAAGTTTTGAGCGGCAAAAAATTTTAAAAAGTTAATATGATACGTCGGATCAAAACGATTTGAAACGTCAATAGCTTGAGACAGTTTGAAATATCGTCGGTCGTTGGATGATACCTTTTTTTATTTCGAAACGATATGAACCGCTTTTTGTCTCTTGAATTCAAAATCGTTCTATTTTATTATATAGATGACGACTACCCTCCAGGATATAATAACTGCTTCTCGCAAACGTGCACTCGCAATGTGAGGAGCCACGAACAACTCAAGCTAGATTAACTCACTAGTTAAAGATATGAAATGTTAATGAAGAAATAATTTTGTGGTAAGGATAAAAGAACGAAGAAGGCTTCAAAATTTTAAAGGAATGAAAAATTTAATGTATTTGGCTTGAGAAAAGCTTCGGTGAGCAAACCAAGAAGAGAAGAAAATGTTTGATTGTCGTATTTTGCAATTGTCCAAAGCAACGCAATATGTAGTGCAGCCCAAGGTGAATAAAAGGAAAATAAATCCTTAATGGGGCAATCAAGGAAGCAACGATCAAATGGTCTCAATTGGCCGAAGAAGATTGTGTAATT